TCCGCCGCCGCCCGCGCCGGGCGGGGAGGGACGCGCGGCGCTCGCGCTCTTTCCTGCCCCCGGGCCGGGCGCTGCCGCGTCCCCCAGCACGCAGCTGCCAGGGGACGGACGTGGGAAGAGGGGTGCCGGGGCGCGGCGGGTTCCGAGGACCGCGCGGGGAGGCACCCGCCTGTCACTCCCCCGGGCAGCGGGTCGGAGAAAATCTGCTTGTCGTGGGCTTAGCGCGGGCAGATGGTCAGTCAGGGCCGGGAGCTCCGACTGTGCTGCTGGTGGCCGGGCGGGGGGCCCAGCTGTCGTGGATGGACTAGTGGTTACCAGAGGATGGCCCTGTGCATGGCCCTGGAATGGACCTGTCCACGGGGCGGGCTCAGCGCGCCCCCTGCCCGGGGCGCCGGGCGGGCCCCCTTTGCAGGAAGGACTGTACCGTGCATGCCGTGTTGCTGTCTCCCGCCTCTGTGGACCCCGATGTCGCCTTCCAGCAGTAGGGACCTTAGTCGCCAGGACTCTCTTTCGGAAGCGGGTGGGCGTGGCGAGGGCGTAAGAAACAAACCAGCAGGAAGCCTCTCGGGATCCTAAAGCGGACTCCGGGAAGTAGATGCTTCCGGAGCTTTCTCAGGACTGAGTCCCTCCCTGTACCCCCCACCCCCACCTCCCTTCGGCACCTTTGGTCTACGAAGGGATCGGTTAATAAACGCGCTGAGGAGGGCAGATGGCTCTGAGGGTGGTGAGCAGAATGGCTGAAGGTCCAGCTGGGATTCATGATGCAGAGGTCCTTGGTGAATCTGAGGTTGCTTTCCTGGAAGATGCCGCCCCCCCCCACACACACACACACACATCCGTTCACCCCAGCAAAACAAAGCAATGCCAGGATCCCAGAATCACGAGACTCAGTGCTCCAACCCGCCTTTCAACAGTCCTTTGACCGGATGACCCAGTCTCCCTGACAGGCTACCTAATTGCCTCCCAGCCGGGAAATGGCCTGTGAGGAGTTGGGGCTGCATCCTGACGGGTGGAAAGGAGATACAACCGCCGTAGGGCGTTCACCTGGTGTCCCCTTTAGTCGGGAATTGACTAGAGTCGGGGTTCCACTCTGAAGGGAGTTTGCAAACACCCCCTCACCCCATCCTTTCCCTGCAGTAGTCTTCCATTAGGTGCCAAGGTTCAATTATGTCTATGTGGAAATTACTGCTTAGTCATTTCTCTGAAGGAAAGTGTATCAAATACAAGTGAAAGTCACCATTCATCGAGCTTAACCTGCAGACAGCCTGACTTACTTGGTTACATGTCCAGTGAACTGTGAGCTAAGAGACATCTTTAAAGACTGGATTTATATTAAAACAACGCTGTAGAAACCAACGTTTCCTCCAAAAAAAAAAAAACGTACCTTTCCCCCAACAATTTATGATGAGGATTTTCAAATATACAGCCAAGTTGAAAGAATTATACAGGAAACACCCACATACCCAACACTTAGATTCTACTATTGACGTTTTACTGTATTTGCTTTATCGCATACCTACCCGCCTATTATGACCTGACTTCTAACCTTAAGTAATTAATGATTATTTGGCTTCCCTGGAGCGGTATTTCCACCGTAGTTCAGGGAGTTGGCAGCGTGGCGGATGGAGGTGTGGTGAGTATCTGGAGCTTTGGGTGAACACCCAGGATGCGCAGAGCACTGTTAGGTACTGAGAAAATGAAGAGGCTGAAGACTCAGACTGACCAGAAGGGACTTGACTTTTGGTTTTGTTTGGAAGAGATGGAAGATAAGTGGCAGTTTGTGGAAGCAAATACCAAGTAAGAAAATGACACTCACTGAGTGCTTGCTGGACACTGAGCACTGTTTAGTATAAGCTGTATTATCTCACTTAATGCTCACAATAGCGACGTAAGTAGGTCACGATTTCTTTCTGCCTTTTACAGAAGGCACAGAGAGTAGTCGCCTTTTGGTGGTGCTAGAAAGAGGTGGAGCCAGGACCGGAATTCCAACAGTCTGGGTCCAGGGTGGCTCTGGGTGCTCTTAGTCACAGCAGAGATGCCACAGGGGGATAGTGGACCCTCCGGCCTGAGCAGGGAGGAGGGAAGGGCGATCTGAGGATTGCCACAGCTCCTCTAGACGCCCCGGCTCAGGCACCCGGCCTCAAGGCTTCATTTCCAAATGGCTCCAGAAGGCTGGCGTCCCGTGTGTTCGACTGGGCGCTGGCGCCCTGAGTGGCGAGATGGGGGTTCTTCGGCCATTACCCTGGGGTTCGCTCTGCTAGTCAGGCTCCCTCCTGTCGCCTCACTCCACTTCCTGTCTGAGGTTTCCCAAAGCTTGGCTCCTGTTCCCTATTCTGTCACTTCCTTTCCAACCCGCACTCTTTCTCCCTGGTGTTTTTAAGACATGTTGTTCCAAAGTTGCCCACTTGCCCGTGGCAGGTGCTCCTGCTTTCCAACGCATTGCATCTCGTGTTGCCAGTCCAGCCGCCGGACTTTCTGAAGTGCCCACGTGCCTCTGGCTACGCAGGGGCGGCCTGGCCCCAGCCTCCCGGTGTCCAGGGTGTCCAGACCGCGTCTCCAAAGCAGAGCCCTTGTGTCCTCACCTTTAGGCTCCTCCCTCCATCCTGGCCCTTGGGCGGTGCTCGGTCTGGGAAGTGGGAGCCGCCCTGTCAGGCAGAGCTGCTCGCTGCCGTTCCCCCTGCTGCCCTCGGCCAGCTGCTCGGTTTGGCTGTCGTGGGTCCAGCCATGTGGCCTCGTCATGGTGGGATGCTCGACCCTACCAGAAGCCAGGGCTCAGGGGTTACGCGCCGGGGGGCAGCAGCCCCAGCAGCCCGGGATGGGGAGCGTCAGTGTAGGGTGCAGCGACCGCCTTGGCCGCCGCACCAAGCAGGGAGGAAGAGGAGAGAGATGGGAGTAGGAACAGGGAATGGCGGGAGGAAAAGGACGCAGAAGAGAAGCAGGTGCTCGCACTAGGGGGTGAGGACAGGACCCCCCCGCCCTTGCCGCCGGCTCCCACGGGACCACGCAGGGCTGTGGCGGGGCTGCCAGGCCCGTGTGGACGCCCCTGTCAAACCCGTGTAGGAGGGTCCCATGGGACCGGCATGAGGGAGGGGCCCTGCCCACCGTGGGGCAGAGGCCTCCCGTGGAGGCAGCAGGATGTGTGTATGTTTGAGATTCGACTAAATATGTGACTTTTCATTTATTCTTTTGACGTGAAATATGACCAAATAATAACAGTCATTAAACTGGGGGAGGGAAGTACTTGGATGTTACATTTTTTTCTCCTCTGTACTTTTTTATATGTTTAAAAGAAACCCCCATAATCAGAGGGACAGGAAGGCAAAGAACAAAAACGGGCCCTAGAGTGGAAACGGGGCCCTGCCTCCGATTTGCGGGGTGAGCACTCATCTGCTGTCTGTGGCCTGAGACGGTCTCAGGGGGTGCCTGGGCCCTGCCTCGCCTGGCAGTCCGCTGGGGCTGGGAGCCTGGTGCTGGCTAGGAACGCTGACCCTTGCCTTCTGCCACCGGCTTCCCCGCAGCTGCCACCGCCATGCCCAGCTCCGCGCTGTGGGCGGTGGATCTCTTCGGGAGGGTGCACATGCTCTCCACAGCGGGGCAGTCCTGGGAGCTCTGCAGGGACACCCAGCTGGAGTTCAAGAGGGTCAGCGCGGCCACACAGTGCTGCTGGGGCCTCGCCTGCGACAACCAGGTCTACGTGTACGTGCGTGCCAGCGACGTCCCCATCCGCTGGCAGGAGGAGGCCTATGAGAATCAGGTGGGCTGCCCTGTGTTTGGGTTGCTGGTGGGTGGGTTGGCTGGAAGTAGAGCCCTTGTGCCCCAGAGCCCTGGCCGAGTCCCACCATCTGCCAGGATCCACGTTGCATAGTGTCCAGTGTCTGGGCCCAGAGCCCCTGTTGTGTCCTCACCAAGGCGGGCTGGCCAGGTCCACACAGGCTGGGCTCCCGGCGGTTTCCAGGGGCCCAGGATGGGTGTGCCCTCCACTGCTTGCCCCTCGGGGCGCTGGGTCAGGTGGCAGTTTCTCTGCCCTTTGGGGCCGTGATCATGTGCTGGCAGGGGCCCGGCTGCCCCAGGCCAGCTGCTCGCCCGAAGCCCATGCCTGCCCTCGGCCCTCAGCGCTGGAACCCCGTGGGCGGCTTCTGCGAGAAGCTCCTGCCAAGTGACCGCTGGCCGTGGAGCGACGTGAGCGGGCTCCAGCCCCGGCCGCTGGACGGGGTGGCGCTGCCCTCCCCGCACTGGGAGTGGGAATCCGACTGGCACGTGGACGAGAACTTCGGAGGGGAGCCCACCGAGAAGGGGGTAGGTGGACTCGCTTCCTGCCCTGGCTCCCCCACGGTGGGGGATGCTTTAGGCTTGGCCCGCCCCTCCGTGCTGTCCCCAGCATCCCCTGGGATCGACCCTAGCCTGTGCCCTATGTGCTCCCCACTTTCTGCACAGGATCGGTGGGGATCAGTGGTGCTCGCTCTCTCCACCCTGCTCCCCGCCTTCCCCAGAGCCTCATAGAGCCCCGCTTGGCGTTTCAGGGGTGGACATACGCCATCGACTTCCCGGCCACCTACACGAGAGACAAAAAGTGGAATTCCTGCGTGCGGCGGCGGCGGTGGCTCCGGTACAGGAGATACAAGTCCCGGGACACCTGGGCCCAGGTCGCGGAGCCCGCGCGTGGCCGGGGCGGGCCAGGGTCCAGACAGGAGTCCCACTGTCGGGGCGGGGGGGGCGCACGGCACACGGCCCTTGCTTCTGCCCTCCCCGCCTGTGCACAGGGCGCCACCACTACGCTGGGAACTTTGACCTGTCCCTTGGGACCTTTGACTTGTCTCTTGGGAGCGCCACGGCATTGCATGTCCCTTCATCTGGGAGGCTGCCACCGGGGGAGCCAGACCAGGACAGCTCAGGACTTGTCCTGACCCTGGTCTCTGGGCTGCCCTGACCCAGACTGAGGCTCAGGCCTTGCCTCTGTCACCCTGGTGGGAGCCACTCTGGCTCCCATGACCATGACCCAGACCGTACTGGTGTCCTGTGTGGGCTTTAACGAGAGGGAGGCCCCAGGCCCTCACCAGTCCTCTCTGCGAGGTGGGTCTGCCAGACCAGCCTGCCTGCTCCTCGGGCTGGGAGCAGCCGGGAGGGGAGAGCGTGGATGGCCAGTATCCCAGATGGCCTACAGGGCAGGGCCACGCCCTGTGGTGGGCCCTCTCCCAGGTGGGGGTGGAGTGGAGCGGTCAGGTAACTGCAGAGCGCACAGCCAGGACCCTCCGTGCCAGAGCAGCTGCTGCCACTCGGGGACAGCAGCTCAGGCCTGGCGGCCGTTAGAGGGAGGACAGGGGAGCGGGAACCCAAGGCTGGGAGCCCTCTGTCCTGATGTTCCTGCTCCGTGAAGTCAGACAGGTGTGCTCGGGGCTGGAGGACGGAAGGCAGCATGCTGAGGGCCGGAGTGGGCACTGCGGTGGGGCATGGCCGCCTGTCTGCTAGGAGGGTTGGTGCGCAGGGGCATAGCTCCACTATCCGCCAGGAGGGGACACAGTGCCATCTACTGGCCCAGGTGCCCACAGGGACTGACGGCCTCTGCCTTGTACCACTTTGTTCCAGATCCCTCAGAAGGATGACCCCAAGCAACTGCCTGACCCCTTCAACGACCTCTCTGTGGGGGGATGGGAAATAACCGATGAGCCCGTGGGCCACCTGTCCTTGTGGGCTGTGTCTCTGCAGGGAAAGGTAAGGCCTGTGCCCCCCTGTACTTTGCACAGGAGGTGGCTGTGGGGGGCTGGCCACAGGCAGGCGCAGGGCAGAGCAGTCGGCCCTGCGATGTTCTCCCAGGGGTGGGGGAAAGCGGAGGGCTGGCCCCGGGACCTCTGTCTCGCCCCCGTCCCCGCAGCTGGGGTTAGCCTGAGCTGGCGGCAGGTTACCCGGGCCCCACAGTCGTCCCTCCTATGAATCCCGATGTCCTGTGGACCTGCCGGGTCCTGCTCCTCCCAGAAGCCTCTGACCTCCTACCCCGCGCCTGGTCCTGGCCTGTCCCTCCTCTAAGCGCCCAGAGCATGATCAGTGCCTCCCCTGGGCTCAGATGCCGTGAGCGCGTTGCCTCGGACAGATCCCGAGCTCCCTTGTGGCATCTCCTGCACAGCAGTCTCTGGCAGTGCTGCGGGAGGGAGGGTGGTGAGTGCGTGGGCGGTGAGTGCGTGGGTGGTGGTTGGATGTGGGTGGGGAGTGCGTGGGTGGATGCGTGGGTGGTGGGTGGTGAGTGCGTGGGTGGTGAGTGCGTGGGTGGTGAGTGCGTGGGTGGATGCCTGGGTGGTGGGTGCGTGGGTGGATGCGTGGGTGGATGCGTGGGCGGGTAGGCAGAGGGATGGCGGGTGGATGTTTAGAGAGATCCTTCTCTCAGAGAGTCTGTGAACTACACAAAGGAGGAAAACCAGCCCCTGACGGCAGCAGCGACCAGTGGTCCTGAGTGCAGGTGACACAACACGTAGTTGTGGTTTGAGAGTGAACTTGGTGACCATTCACTACTCTCTGCCACGAATTGACCAAATGCTCTGGTCGGCTTTGGAAGAGTCACAGGCTTTGTCAGGCTCACCTCCGGGGTCCTGTCTGTCCCAGGCCTGGGTCACGCACAGTTTT